TTCAGAGGATACATTAATTACCTTGGGGTAGACAAAGATTTCTTAACTAGGGCACAAAAAGCACTAATCATAAATGGGGGGAAAAAACTTATAAATTAGATTACATCAAACATAAGAACTTGTAGTCATCAAAAGACACTCTTAAGAGTGAAAAAGATAAGCCACTAAGGGAAAGGAAGTGTTTGTAATACATATATTGATTCTTATCCACAATATATAAAGAACTCCGACAAATCAATTAGGACAAAAAAGCCAATAAGCAAATGGGAAAAACAGTAGACCAGGTCTTTTTACAAAAAAGGATATCCAACTGAACAATAATTATATAAAAAGGTGCTTGACCCTCCTTAGTCCTCAGGGAAGTGCAAATTAAAACCATAATGAGATACTACCACACAGCCACCAGAATGGCTAAAATGAAAAAGACAGACACTACCAAGTGTGGCCATGGGTGTGGAGAACTGCTGGTGGGAATGTAAATTAGTATAACTTTGGAAAACCTGTAGTATCTGGTAAAGTATCTGAACATTTGCATACCTTTTGATCCTGAAATTCCAATCTTATGTATACACCCAACAGAAATGAATACATATGCTCATCAAAACACATGTACAAAAATATTCATAGCACCCTGTCATAACAGCCACAAACTGGAAAGAACTCAATATCCACCCATAGTAAACAATACAAATAAATCATGGTATATTATACAATGGAATACTATACAACAATGAGAAAATAAACAGTTGCTATACACAAGGTGGATGAATCTCACAAACATAATGTTGAAGGAAAGAAGCCACATATGACAGTGTACATACTATTTGATTCTATTATATGACAGTTTAAAACAGGCAAAAGGTATCTAGTGTTCAAAGTCAGGAGAGTGGTAACCTGGGTGTCTGCTTATATATGTGGTAATGAAGGTGGACAGAGTATGGATAAAGAGGGGGTTGGGGAGGGCTCTAACTACTAATAATAATCTACTTTTAAAAATCATAGATGTGTTCATTTTTTAAAGATTCATTAAGCTACACATTTACAATGTGAGCATTCTGTGTACATATACTTCAATAAAAAGGTTATTTTTAAAAATTGGTTTTAAAAAGTTTATTTTAAAAAATTAAAATAAAAAATAAAACTACCATATGATCCAGCAATTCCATTTCTGGGTATCTATCCAAAGAAAACAAAATCACTATATTGAAAAGATATATGCAACCCCCATGTTCACTGCAGCATTTCAATAGTCAAGATATAGAAAAACAACTCAAGTATTCACTGATGGATGAATGGCTAAAGAAAACACACATACATACAGGAATATTATTCAGTCATAAAAAAAAGAAAAGGAAGAAAAGGAAATCCTGCCATTTGTGACAACGTGGATAGACCTCGAGGGCATTATGTTAAGTGAAATGAGTCAGAGAAAGACATATACTGTATGATCTCACTTATATGTAGACTCTTAAACACACACACACACACACACCCCACCACCCCTGCTAAACTCAACAGATTGGTGGTTGTCAGAGGTAGGGATGGGGTGAAAGGGTGAAGGTGGTCAAAGGTACAAACTTCTTATTGCAAGATAAATCAATCATGGGGATGTAACGTTTATCATGGTGATTGCAGTTAACAATACTGTACTGTATATTTGAAAGTTGCCAGGAGTACAGCATAAAAGTTCTCATCACAAGAAAAAAAACTGCAATTATGTGTGGTGATGGGTATTAATTAAATTTATTGTGGTAATAATTTTGCAATATCTATCTATCTCAAACCATTATGCTGCATAACTAAAACTAATACAATGTTACATGTCAATTATCTCAATAAAAAAAATCTCAATTAAAAAAAAAGAAAGACAACCCCATACCCATTAAGCAGTTACTCCTCATTTCCTGCTTCTCCCAGTCCCTGCCAACCACCAATCTGCTTTCTGTTTCTATAGATTTACCTATTGTGGATATTTCATATAAATAGAATCATACAACTTATGAGCTTTTGTCACTGGCTTCTTTCACTTAATGTTTTCAAGGTTCATCCACACTGCAGCATGTATCAGTATTTTCCGTTTTACGGACAAATGATATTCCATTGTGTATACATACCACAATTTAATCAATTCTTTATCCATACATGAAGTATTTATGGTAATTTTTGATCTTCAGTACTTGCTGAACTCCCTACCATCAATTAACAATCTCTTACAAGTCCTCAGTCAGAAGCTAGTCATCGCCTCTTCAACAAAATGGAAAACTACTGTAATATTGCACTAAGTATAACAACTCTCTTTGTATAACAACCTGTTTTATTCTACCAAGCATTTCTTACCAGGACTCTAAATTGAGTATTATCATCATCATTACTTTGTAGGTGAGGAAACTGAGATGTAAAGAGCTTAAGTAGCTGTCCAATGTCACAGCTGGTGAATGGCAGAACCAGGACCAGACAGACCCCTTCCCTTTCTATCCACCACATATCAGAGTTTATTCAGTTACCCACGCTAACTCAGTCACAACTCACTACGCTGACTATAAATAATTCTATAAATTAAATTTAGAAGAAAGGTTCTCACAGTCAGGTCAAGAAAAGCTTCAAGCTATAAACCGGTTTAGCTCTAAATATATGTCTGTAAGTCTGTCCTGCAATTCATAAAACATTTACCTAAATAGGAAATTGTATAAATGGTTTAAAAAAATCATTTCTTGGAGGGATACCACGAATTAGATTAAGATAGAGCTTTTAGTGGAAGAGTCAATAAATTTGAAATCAAACTAAACTACAGTAAGTGTGCTCATTTTTTTTCTACTGCTGTCTTTTGGGTCCCATTCAGTTTCATAAGGCACAAGGACAAACCCAAGGCTACCTGCTGGTCTACAGAAAACATTTCCGCAGTCTCTTAAGCTCTTAAAAAACCAAGCAAACTAAGAATCCAGTGTGGAAGAAATATTAAACGAGCAGTTCAGGACAGCTTTTCACTAGATAGTCTTTCCCGCGCCATAGGGGTGACTGCATTTGGAGGATCTTGGGATAAAGGAACACGGACCTTGCAGAGGCAGCTTCCTACCAATGCCTAAACTGATGAGGTGAAAGCAGTCCTTGCAGCTGACAGATCACATATATATGGGCCAGAGCCACAGCTGGTAACAAAGAAGATGCATCTGCCTTGAGTTTCCTCTGTGCAATATGCATTAGCCAGGTACCTGAATATGTGATAGCAACCACGGTAGGCGGCTCTGAAGGACTTGAGACCCACAACCTAACCACATACGTACTGGCACAATTAGTGGGTCCCACCATGTTGTTTCATTTAATATTTAATAACAAAAGCACGGTTTTCATGTACTTATTACAAAGTTAAGATGAAAATCTTTAATATTTAAAATTAATAATTCCTAACCTTAAAAGCTATTTGAAAAGCAAATGTAAGAATTATGACATTTAAAAGATGACTGAAATAAACTTGCAGAGTATGACAGTGAGGAAGTTTGTGATATAGTGGAAATAAATGGGATTGAAAGTCATGAGGCCTAGCATAAAACCTGGCACTTCGCAGACATATAATAAATAACAAATGAATGATCTAGTACTGAAGGGCTTTGGACAGTTATTTCTTCTCTCGCTAAAATTAGACTGTAATAAAAATTAAATGAGTTATTACATATAAAGTGTTTACAACAGTTCTTGACACAGTCAGTACTCAATAAACAACAGCCACTATTACTACTAGATGCTAGTCTGGTTCTACCACTAAACTCAGGTATAATCTCCAACAAGTTACTAACCATTCTGGAATTTTATAAAATGACTAAGGGTGCTCCATAGCTCCCTTTCAGCTCTAAAAATATTTAAATTCTGATTCTTAAACATGTTATATTAGGGATTAATGCCCAAACACATGAAAACTTTAAATACTACCATATTTTCCAGGCTACATAACATATACCAAATATACTGTGGAGGCGGAAGGTTTGGTATATGTGGATGTGACTGGACCATCACTTAAGGTGGAATCTGTTACTTGAACACATATCCAAAAAAAATACACACAGGCACGTGCGCACGCCTGCACTCAAAAAAAGATAAACATTACTGGATGAAGATTAAGGAGATTTTGTTCTATTGCTGATACTGCTGCCAACCTTAAAATAGTAAGTTACTCCTATCTGTGTTTGTTTGCTTATCTGTAAGTTGAGAAAGGTTGGGATAGACGATCACTAAGATCCCTTTGAGACTTTCTTTACTTTTTTCCTCCTTCCAAACTAGAGTGATGTCAAGTATTACTTAGAAAACCAGACATTTTAGCACCAGTAAGTGTGGAAATTGGCTGATCTCCTGGCCTAAGCAGTCCCTGATATGAGAGAGGGTGGCAATGGCACCAGCCTTTTTAGATAGGCCCACATTCACGTTCAAAAGCCAGCAGACTCGATTCTGCCTCTGCTTTCGAAAATAATACATATTCTACACCATAGAGAATAGGAAATGGAAATCAGCTCAATATATGCACTGATATGCAAGTTTTTTGACATTATCACACAATTAACTGATGATTCTCTTGTACCACAATATATTTAATAACCAACATTTATTCAGCACCTACTATGTAATGGATCCAATGCTGAGCGCCTTTAAGGCATCACATAAACCAAGAAGATAATTTTAGGTGATTTTCAGGTAAGAGAACTGTTGGAAGGACTAGAAAATACAAAGCTAAATTAATTTCCTTCATTTCATTTCCAAGATAAATTCTTGCAAAAAAGGACAATCTTAATTACTTCATTAATTACCTTTAAGAAAAAAACAGATAAGCAGACACAAATTTAAATTCTGATGTTCACATCAAGAATGTAATTTATTCTTAATATTCCCAAGAGGTTTCACTGTATTCTTACCTTTTTATTTCTAACCTAGAGCAAAATGAGAAGCAAAGAACAGAAACTTGTCTAAAGTATATAATTAAAAGTTTCTTTTGAAAAAAACTAAAAACTTCTTACCTGAGCATGAAAATTGGACATAGTCGTTGTCTCTATATCCTTCTTTCCCAATATCTCCATTTTCACTGGCGAATTGGGAAAATTAAATGAAAAGTAGTCTAAAAAGTCAGGTAAATAGGTAGCTGCCCCATGAACAATACCCATTACATAAAAAGCTGCAGAGTTTTCATTTTCACTGAATACTAGACCCACAAACTCTTCTGCAAACCTCTCCATCTCCACAGGAGACAGGTGGGAGAGTTCATTACTGTAGGCATGGATAACTGATGCACCTCCATTAGGCTGGTGCTCAATATGAATGAGCTGTTTGAACTCCAAAGTGTCCAACCTTTTGAGGTTATTCTGAACCCGTGGCTCCTTTAATGAGACAAATGGAAACTCACTGTTCTCTGGAATTTTGGAATCATAGCTCTTGGTATCCAAATTCTTTCCACTGTAATCCTTTATGTTATCATTTAGGATGCCTTTGGCTTCTTGATCTTCCACATCAGATAGCAATCCTGAGCAGATGGTTTGAATAGATTTGCTGTACATTTTTGGACGCTTCCGTTTTTCATTCTCTTTGTGTTTCTTTTTCTTTTTCTTCTTTACCTTTTTAATTTGTAAGTCTTCTACATTTGTTTTAGGTTTCTCCTTCCCACCTGTTGGGAAAAATTTTTTTTTTGAAACTCCATATTTTAGTTGATTTTTAAAAACCATGCTTTAGAAATTGTTTTATGATAAATAAGCAAAGTTTACTCAGAATTAGGTTTACATTTGGGATTCATTTTACACAGTATTGATAATCATAATTTAGTCAGTCTCTTTGCTTTTCTCTACACACACACACACACACACACACACACACACACACACACACACACACACACAATGACACTTAAGACGAAGTTACACCTTTCTGACATGTAGCATATGCTCAATCAGTGTTCACTGAAGTAATGAAATTAATGACTGTTTCAGAAAGCATAATTNCACACACACACACACACACACACACACACACACACACACACACACACACACACACGAAGCCTTAAGACGAAGTTACACCTTTCTGACATGTAGCATATGCTCAATCAGTGTTCACTGAAGTAATGAAATTAATGACTGTTTCAGAAAGCATAATTTTCACATTTTAAATGTAGAAAATCAGAAATGAAAAGAACAAAGTCAATACGAACAACACCCTCCAGATGTTTCCCACTGAACACACACACACACACACACAAACACACACACACACAAACACACGTATAATTTTTACTTTATCTAAGTCTTAAAAATTGCATACAGGTGTTAAGATTTATAAATCATAAAGGGAGAAAAATACTTGCACAGTGTAACAGCAACAAGCACAGCAATTCCTTAGCTTTTACTATATTTCCTCCTCAGAAAACTACCCTTACATCTAAAATGGGCTGTTTTAGGTCCACTAGAGTTTACAAAGTTCCCAGTGAAGACTCCATGAGACACTATAAAGATGACAAAATTAGAATAATTTTTCATTTCCTAAGCACAAATGATACCCATGTACTGATAAAGATATGAATAAAAAAATTAAAAAAAAAAGACATGGGACATTATAAATCTGCATATTAATGAGCTTCTGTAACCAAAGGCAGGTAGACTCTGGGCTCAGAAATTTAGAATTCCAAAGAATAAAAGGTTAATCCAAAGACTGTACAGCTATGGAATTTAAGTGTATACATAAACATAAACATTCTCACAAGAAACTATGCTTCCTAAGATATGAAAAAGCCATGAAGCTAACAGTTGAGAAAATAAGGCATTCACTGTTTTCACCTGTTATTTCACTTTTATAGATAACCTGCCATGAATTAAATCTGCCCAACCTACTTCTTTAAATGTTTCCGTCTCCACATCTCTTTTATTCCTTTCCGTCTCCAGTGGGTGAGGTGTCCTGCCTACTTTCCAAATATAAGTCCCTCCCACCAACTCCAAAAACATTTAATAATTTTCTCTCCTCTTCTTTGACTATCAAACTCATTAAAAAAAAAAAGTTTACGCCCAGTGCCTTCTCTTTTTTACCTTACCATTCTTATCCCTTAAATTCTGAGTCTGCTGCCAGTCTACTCAAATTTTCTTTCCCACAATGTTCAAATATCAAAGATATTATCTTGAATTATTCCTTCCTGATCTCTCCAAGGTTTAATAGAATTATCCGGCTCATCCTTAATTATTTTTGACTTCCTTGATATAACTGCCTTATTTTTGGTCTAATTGGTCTAAACTGCCTTATGACTGCCTCTCATCCTGAATGCTTGAGCTGTATTAATCCTGTAAGTTTTACACATTATTTTGATCGTATTCATCCCTTGACTCAGCGGCTTCCCAGGTTTCTCAATGCCTACCAAATAAAATATAACCTCTCCAGCCTGGAATTCAAAAGCCTTCAAGTACCTCATGTTCTGGTCAATCGGCACTACTTACAATTTCTTATAAGACATACCTAGTCCAACCTTATCTTCCTACTACTGACAAAGGCATTTCCTCTCCCTAAAATACGCCTGCCCTACCCAATACTTAATACTATTGAACTCTTTTCTCACCCATCCTTTAAAAACAACTCTACGTCACTTCCTTCATTTTGCTTTCCTTTATCTCTCTAGTTGGAACTGAAATCACTTCACTCTAAATATATAAAGTTATTATATATTCCATATATATGAATGTATGTGGCATAAAAAGTTATTATTTTTCACTGACAAGATACCTGTGTGTATGTCCTTCAGGACACTGCATGAGTAAAACAAACAACTTTTATATAAATTCAGAGTGAAATGATACTTTTTAACCCCAAACATGCATTCTTCATGGCATTTAGAACACTGCTATAGCTGAACATTTCATCAATCTATGCAGGAAAAGATTTCTCTCACCAACAGGCTACCTGAGGTTTACAGGTTTTCCCCTTGTCTCCTTTTCAATCAAAGTTTTCTACAATATAAAAACAACTAACTCTTAACCCAGGGGGGCATAAAAATTTAAGTTGATAGCAATTCTAAAAATGAAACATTAATGCTAATAATAACCTATCACTTCTAAAAATTCGTAGGTATACAATGAAGACCAAATTGGTATCATCATGAAAAGCAAAAATAATCTGTCAACACATTTGATTACATAGGTTTGTAAAGTCATAAAATGCAAAGTGTTATTTTTCTAACAAGTCTATATGCAGCTAGTTAAGAATTATATTAATAAATTCATATTTGCTACCTTGGTATAAACTATCAAAACATCAGATTCAGGTTAATATCTTCAAAACAAAATTCATGAAGATAAAATAAAACAGGGAGTTAATCAAAATGAAAGTTACGGGTCAGCTGAGTGGCGCGTTGGTTAAGAGCTGGCTTGGG